CTTGAAATTATGCGACGCCCAGCATAAACCGACCAGTACATTAAGTCCTCCATTCCTTTAATATTATTAAAGAATGATTAGTATGTCCTAAATTAGTCGTGGAATTCAAAAAACTTTCACGAGCATGTATAATCATTTAAAAATGCACGTAACTAAAATTATTGCGCTTACCTTCCAAAGCACGCAGTACAGAAACTTCAGTACTAATCCTAAGCCCACCACTGCTCATAATACGTTCAGCTACTGTCTTAGCAATTGGATGCTGTAAATGAACATAGCCTATAGTGTCATCTCGTTGATAATCAACTGTAACTTTTAAACCATAAGAATCAAACGCTTTCTAATAAATTAAGTACAAACAATTTAAATTTTTATAATCGAGAAACATAAATGAAATCTATAATTCTTACCGTTATCAATCCAGCAGTGGTATTTGGATCAAGACCAAGTAACATTATAACTCTGTTAGAGGGCTGCTCACTACTTGAAGTTTGTGCTGAACTATTAGTGGAATCTTCCACGTGTGAGGTGGTGCTTGATTCACCAGTTTTGGGTGACCAAGTGTCCATTCTTAAAAATTTTAAAGTCGTTTGATTATGAATAGTAAATTGCGGCTGTGAAATTATTTTTTTTTTTTAAAAGAAAAAAAAGTTGCAGCGGTTAAATAACTTGCCGGTCGCTTAGCGTTAGTCGTGACACACAACCTTTTTATAAATATGTGCTTGGTTCGTGCGTAGCGCTAGATATGTATTAGTAACGGTAATACTGTCGCTTCAAAATTAAAAAAAAAATTTGATACACAACATTCACAACATTTTTTATAAGTTACACGAGATCTCATTTAAATTTAGAGGCTTAAAATGTAATTATTGCTTTTTAGTACGTACGTATCATAAAAACAATTTAATTAAGGCCATACGTATAAAATTAATTTGATTGTTTCTCATAATCCGGCCGGGTTAGCTTTTGTAAAGTTTCAATTCAAAATTTTATGTTATTTATTATAAATACTTCCAAGGGAGTTTTTAAAATGTTCTAGATAAAAAAAACTTTTTGTAACTAAAAATAAAGCCGGCCGGGTGGGTCACTTATGAGAAACAATCAATTCAGTTTATGTGGTCTAAGATAAATGTGTGTATAAGAGTTAGGCATATATTCTTCGGAATTTAATGTATTACAAAATTTAAATAATGTAGCTATTAATATTTTGTACTTAAACAACTTAAACATCGTAAAATTTGACCTTTATCGTTATCTAAGTCGATATCAAATTTGAATTAGAAAAAATTCGGCTAAGAAATTGTATAAAAATTATAGCATATATGTGGTTATTCTGTTAGGGCTAAGATAGCAATTTGGATAAGGTTTGTATTCAATATGTAGAAGTAGATAATATTTAGTATTATCTGTATTAATATTTGCTTTTTAATATATAATAGATATTTGGTTAAATAAAAGATTATTGTAAATAAGTAACTATAATTTAGATTTTTTGAAAATATTATATATTAGGCCATACAAATTTAATATCTTGGTTTTCATAACATGAAACTTTTAAACGGACCCGACCGGCCGGCTGACTTTTTTTTTAAAATTTTATATATAAAAATTTTATAAAAATTTTTTAAAATCCCACCCGGTTATTAAAACAAATAAAAAAATGTTTTTTCAAGTTTTCAAATTTTGACTCGGACGGGTTATGAAAACCAATTAACTAATTTTGCATGGCCTTATAAACAAAAGGTTTAATTTATTATTGATAATAAGAAAAAGTAGTTGATAATTATTATATATTTTTTAGTATTGTAAATTATAAAAATTATTTGCTTTTTTGGTAATTAAAGTAGTTACAGTAAAAAAATTTTTTTATTTTAGCAATATACAGTAGTATTGTTTGTAATATATAATTGGTTTTTTTATATAATTTAGCTAGCCTTTTTGGCTATAATTTTTATTAATTATTATTATTTTTTTTACTTAGATGATTGTGTTAGTATCTGATATTTATTAAGTATATACCTGCATTATATTTACAATAAAAGCTTTAGATTTGATATCATATGGCTGCTTCAATTTAACCAAAGTTAACCAAGTATCCATATGCAACTAGTTACATAGTTAGAACCAACTTTAATACAAAAAAGCTAACTTTACTGAAGGTATATCTAATTACTACTCTACAATAGGATACTGCCAATCTGATAGTATCTTTTTGTAGAAAAACAAAAAAAATTATATAAAAAATATAGAGGTATAGAGAAGAATAATAAAAAAAGATACAAATAAGAAATAAAAAAGGATAAAAAAAGTATTAAAATAAAATAAGAGAATTATATTCACAACAGATAGTCATACTTATAAGCCTGTATTAGACCTATAAAAATTATATACTACTATATAAACTAGTTCTACTTTATATTTATCTAATTAGTATTATCAAAATAAATTTTAAAAAAACCTTATTTTATTTCTATTAGAGCAAATTAAAATTTTATAAACAAGAGCAAATCTAATTTATATAGTTATATTTTTTATAATTTTATTTTTTTAAAAAAAGTATCAAAAAATTTTATCTTTTAAATAAAATAGATTAAAAGCAATTTTGTTTTCAAATTTTAAATTTACACTTTTACTAAAACGCACCTATGGTGTTTTACTATCTATATTATATTATTTCAAAAACTAGCTAATTAATCGATGTGAGATGTTCTAAGTAAAAATGTTCTACACCCTCAAGAACCCTTCCCAAACTCTAATCCTAATCTTAATATTAACTTTAACATAAAAAAATTAGTGTTAAAAACTTTATATACAAAACTTATAAAAATTTAGAAAATTTTAAAAAACATAATAAAAACATATAATAGATACAAAACCACTATAAGTACATTTTATAATAATTGTTAAATTTATATTCTGAAATCTAAAATAATTTCATCAGTATATATAATTAGTATATTAAAAATAAAAATCTTCAAAAAAAAAAAACTACACTTCTTTGTCTTAAAATACTATAGAAAAATTAGTAATTTGTATTTATAGTTTTGAGATATTGTTATATGAATTTTAATATTTAAGACATATTTTTTTTTTCTAATTGTTAGTAGCCTTGCTGGTATTTTTATTAGATCAAAGCATATATATACATATATTAACTATCTAAATTCTAGATCTGACATATCTTGGCTACTCTAGAGATGTTCAAGAGCAGTTTGTCACATCGGATAAGGCTTATGTCCGTACTGGAGGCTGCACCAAGCTAGCCTGCAAAACTATACCAGAATAGTTTTGCTTTATTTACAATATAATTTTTAATTGATTCAAACCAAGTCGCCTTTTTTTTGTTTTTTTCTTTCTCTTTTTCTTTTCCTTTTTTTTTCTTCACTTTTTCCTTAGTTTAATCTTGACTGTTTAGAAATTCTCCTGTAGTTTTATATGGCTGCTTTGCATTAATATTAGAGCTTTCTACTTTCGATTTCTATCTTCTTTTCTATTTGGTGTTGATGCCTTCTTCTTTTTCCCACTCATTAATAGCTAAATATCTATATTTCTAGATATTCTCGTAAAAGAAATTCTATACTAAATTCACTACCATTTTCAAATAATTCTTTGCTTCTTTTAGTGGCTTTATAGTATCAAGTACTTTTCTGAAAACCTCTTCTTGGATTAGATCCTTGAGGAGACCAAATCTTGTTCTGATCTTTTCTTCTCTTGTTGGTCTCCATAAAGTATTCTTAAGTTGGATCTTGTTAAGCTGTCTTCTTGTTTCTATAAATAGAATTGCCCAAGCTAAATTTAATACAGTTTGCTCTAATTTGTTCTATTTCTCCTTGTATTTCTCATATTTTGTTAGATAGGCTTGGTCTTTCTTTTCGTTTTTCTCGTAAATTATACAGCAGGAGCTTTTGTATAAGTCTGGTTTTTTACTAGCCAAGATTTTAAATACTGGCAATTTTTCATATAGGCATTCGATCAGAACCCCTAACCGTTGGTTCTTTTTTGAGCTAGTATATCTAATTCCACTCTGGCTTCTAATTTTTCTCTACAGGATCAGCTAGTGATTTCTCTCTGCTGTATCATTTGGTTCTTCTTTCTGTATTGCAAATGATATTCTCTAGTCTAAGCTTGTTTGGAAACAGAAAATCATTTGTATAAAATATCTTGTGGAGTCTTCTACAGTTTTATCTTCCCAACACAAAGAAACGTTTGACTCCTGAAGGAGTTTCTCTACTATGTTATCTCTATTTTCACCTATTTTTACTATACTCTCTTACTTTTACTAGTTCTAACTAAATTTTTTTAATCTTAACTATATTATCTATACTATTTACTAAACTATAATTCTTCTCCTTAAATATCTGTCACATTGTTCTCTTTTCTTTTTTTCTTCTATACCTTCTATCATTAATGTACTGTCTGTATAGATTTTTATTTTTTTTTTATTTGGTACTAAAAGAAGTATATACCCAAATTTTGAGCAATTCAGCTTTCATCGATGATGACCACTTTTCTGCTCTGAAATAGCCCTCATTTAGCCTTTGATTTTCCTCTTCATTAACTTAAACCTAACTAACTTCTATCTTTACTAATTTATTCTGTATAGATGTATTATTACTTCTTAGAGAACCGTCAGTATAGAATATCATTTGAGGTGATAGGCTTTTTCTTATTTCTGTATTTTTGTTTATAAGATCTATCTTCATCTTCTTGCTAATGAACTGCTTATTGATAATTTCTGTATCTAAGTCATAGTAGCGGACTTCATGTATCTCTCTTTTATTTGGTAATATTCCTAATCTTGAGAGCTATTGTGTTGCTTTAAATGCTTCTTGGGGAACTTTGAAGACATTTTCTTTCTGTTTGTCTACATATTTCATGATAGATCTCTGCAGTGTTTTTTCTTTTAATACTGCTCTGCATAAATTTCTATGCTTCTCTTGATTGAGTTTGCAATCACTATATTTTTTAACTTGACCGATAATGTGTTTGGATCTTCTTCTGTATTTCAGTACTCTGTTATGGTTCGCTTCTTTTCCTTTTTGACAGTTCTTCTGAAGACTAGATTTTTATTCTCTTTATTCTTTGTATTCTGCATTATTAACCAGTCTTTCTTTCTGCAGTTGTCTTCTGGTGTCTGGAGCAGCTTGGAGCATCCAAGCATTCAGGCCTTCCAACTTGAACTCTACCTTGACAGTTCTCTTTTCTTCATCTTCTAGAACTCTTTTTTCTATTTCTTGGAATCATTTTGCTTTTTTACCTTTGCTTGAGCTGTTTCTAAGAATCTTTAACTGCTATCAGGTTATTAAACAGTCTCTTGTGCTTGTTAACTGTTGCTTAAATGAGATTAGATTTAGCTTTCTCAAGGTTCTAGCTACTGGTATAGTGAAGCTTTCCTTGAGTATATTTACTAATCTATAGTCTTTGTTTTCTGTTATCAAAGTTGTACTTCTAAACCTTAACGTGATTCCTAGTTCTCTAGCATTTAGTATTGTTTGGCATGTTAAATTGTTTTTTCAGATATATGCACAGGTTGCTAGTGGCTCTTTGTGCTATGTATTCTCTGTTGACC